TAATATTTATATATATTTTTTTTCAAATTTACATTTTTTAAAAAAATAAAATATTTATTGTTTTTTTAAAAACACATAAAATCGTATTATAACATCGACAGAGACAAATAATAAAATAGAATATTAAAATCGAGATGTGTCTTGCTGTATTGCGCGAGTACTCTTCTAGTTATATTATAAAGCATTTGACAAAAACTCTTAAAACCACTTTCTATACACGAAGTACTGTTTGTTGATGCATATTACTCAAAATTCAAGATTACGAGTAAATTCTACATAAGTACAACTTATTAAAGCTTCATATTTAAATTCGTGTAACTAACTGCAGATAAAAATAATCAAATACGAGATAAACATCTTATTTTAAATATAAAATATAATTAGAATAATCATTGATATCTAACAAAATATTTAACTATTATCTTAATAAAAGATTATATTACTAAACATAAATTAAATTACTTTGTCACTAAACTTAAATTAAATTATAAAAAAATTGAATTAAATAAATTACACAAAGAAACAAGAACTTTTAAATAGTTAATTTGATACTGATATCTGATATTTTTTTTTTCAAAATTTTATGTTATTTTCAAATTTATATTTTATTCAAAAAAAAACATTATCGTTTTCTCAAAACCACATAAAAACATATAAAAAAAAAGAACAAACCAAACATTGAAATCGAGATGTGTCTCAATACATTACACGAATACCCATCTAGTAAAATTAAATGTAACAAAAACTTGAGAACAATATAATATCTGCTACATTATATTCGCGTAATACGCATATTTTTAGTAAGGATTAGAAAAAGGTTATGGCTTGAGTTTCGGTTTCGATCATAGAAAACTTTTATGACCATATTGCACCACTATTGTAACGATATCACTGTCTTGGTAAAGGTGCAGTTGAATTCCTACTCGTAAAATGATCCATCGTCATTTATGCTTTAAATAAACCTCCATTTTTTTGTTGCAAAATGACTCGTGAACCGATTTTTAATGAACTCTATGAGTGTCATCAGATGTATATTACGTTTTAGCAAAGAAAACAGTAGCTTCAAATCAAGTAAGCGGATCATGTGAACCAATGAATGATTGCCACTAATGGTATGATGGTTGTGACCGAAGAGTCGTGTGTTCATTTTTTTGAAATCATATGCATTTTATGTCAAAAATTCTTTAACTTTCGTAATCTATGAAATGAACCCTATTTCTTTTACAGTGAGTGATGTATGAAAGTGTAAACGAATGATTGGATAAGATTGAAAGGAATTATACGTAACACTGCAAGATCACATTTACATACAAATATATATTTTCATATATCAAGAAATATAATTTATACATATGGTCCCAATATCTACATGAAACGTTGAGAAAACTTATTTGCTTTTTTACTTCATGACCCACAATCCCAATGAGATAATAGGGTTATGATTATCTCATATAATAAGCAATTAAAGAAATAAGGCGGTGGTAGTTTTTAAAAGAATTTAAACACATAATCAAATTTAACCCCTCAACTTACAATCAATAATTTTTTTTCTTTGCTTTCATAAATAACTAGTTGTGGTAACCGTGCAATGTGGTAGAAGCCGTGAATTTTAACGATTTTAAAGCTTCACTAGTTTTATTAGAGAAGATTTAATGATGATATAAGTTACACTTGGTCTTTACATATTAATACAATTGGAATAAATAAGAGTTATGATTCCAATTACAGTCTATCGGTGAAAAAAATTGTATGACAGTTTAAAATCCAATATATTTAAAATCCAACATATTTAAACGACTCCACAAATGTGTTCGATTTACACCAAGAGCAAATACTCAAGAGATCAAGAGCGAGAACGAGAATTATAGAGCAATTGAATGAGAGAAATTTTAATAACTCATAGTGAATATCAGTTTAAATCTCACATTGGGGGATGAGGAGAAGACATAAAGGTGTGAGAGGGTGAAAACATGAGTGAAATGTATTAAAAATATCTTGAGAACATGAAAAGAAAAAGTAATAATGTACATTGGTAACTTGTACTTGATGCATTATGAGTTGTTTTTAAGACTTTTAAGACTTTGTGCATAAATGTATAGTACTTTGTGCGTTAAAAATTGTTTATAAGACTTTTGATAAATCTGGTTTATAAATTAGTATAGATTAAGGTTAAGGACCAAAAGTGCCAAAAAGAAGTTCATAAAACCCTTCCCATCTATTGTGAATAAGTAGAGGGGTCATTTTTGCAAACACTAACGCAAAATTTTTATTTTTCCGTACAATGAATTGAAATAATAGCCCCTAAACTATTTACAATTTACAATTTTGTTTCCTTTTTTTTTTTTTGCATTGTAATACTTCAAATCCCGGTCTAATGCCTCTTGCTCCCGCCAAATACCCCCGTAAAATGATATAGTTAAACCACGTCAAAAATCGTTAGCATCGCATAAAAACATTCCTGATATGCTCATGATCGTATCATCTACAAAGGTACGAAGTAAATAATATGATAGTAACAGACTTGGTTGTATTGATCGTTTAACAGTGTGCTAGTACTCTGTTAGAGAATCCACGATGGCGGACTTGCTAAAAAAAGTGGATTTCACAAGCAAAACAAACAAGCTTATAGAAAGCTTGTAATTGCAGTAGAGAAGGTTTTTTTTGTCGATGGTTTTTTGGCTTGTCTAGATGGCCAAAAAGCTTTATAGAAAAAGCTCTATAAAAAGCTCAATCGGAAGTGTGATCCCTCTTTTTCTTTCCAACGTTTCTGTCTGTAAGTATTTTAGATGCAAAGGTTTGCACAAAGTTCCTGAATCAACATCATGTCGTTACCATCGGGTAGCATATACGACTTCGATTTTCCATTGCTCAAGCATTTGAGGTTTAGTTGATTGCCCGATCGTGTTGACTGAAAAAATGGAAGAAAAAGAAACTCGATGAATTGGACATTGTCGAACCACATATAAATATATCGAGAAAAAAAAATCTTACATTGCATTGCGGACTGCAGCTCCATAGAGACGTAGGCACACAACTTAAATAATGACACCAAGAACAATAATCATTTCCATCCACTTCGCGGAAAAGGAATACAAATCCGATTGTAAACCTGCGATTGCACGCACCAAACTTGATATCCCTTGTGCATAATTCAAAGAAGGTGACATTTATGAAGACTTACATCACGATTAGAACGATTATCGAAAGAATAAGCAATATGTACTGATATAACTTGTATCTCGTTTTCCTTTGGTGCCCATAGTAACCAAAAGGACTAATGGGTTGGCTTGTCCAATGGAAATGTGGTCGAATTAAAAGGATAAATCCGAGGAAGAACCCTGTGACGAATCCTCCGATATGTGCGAAATTGTCTACGTGTGGGAGGATTCCGACCATTAGGTTTATAAGGATCATGAAAATGAGCGTTGTCAATGCTGCCATCTGCATGAAAACAACAAAAGCTAACATTGGTTGTGTGTATATACTAGTTTACTGGTTTGAGGATATACGAAACCCCATTGAATTTTGTCTAAAAGAATCCTTGTAGATAGAGGGGATGTTTTTATGTATATATATGTTTTTTTCGTTAACCATGGATTTCAAAGTCAGGTTGTCTGCTAATTCCATGGAGCCCTAAAAGTGTAGCCAAACAAATCCTGAATGGTCTTAAAGAGAATATATATATATAGGGGAGCGATCAAATGCAAACCGCTCAATTTGTACAAACCGTGCAAACCGTATTCAACCAATCATAATTTTTCATTTTGTTAATTTTTTTTTAATTATGAGAGATTGATTAATCATTTTTATTGTGGAGGGTGTTAATCATGATTAATCAATTTTATTGTGGAGAGTGTTAATCATAGATATTATCATCTTCATTATTTTAATTTTAGAGAAATACATGAAACAGTTTCATTAATGTTAGAGAAATACATGAAACAGTTTCATTAATGTTAGAGAAATACATGAAACAGTTTCATTAATGTTAGAGAAA